GTGTTCATGGTAACATCATCACCCCAGGATGCAGAGAGCCTGTTCACAAATTTTCTTTCGATAGTGCCATATGCCTGGTTAAATTTTCATACATGGCTGTACCTACACAGGCATGCTGTGTAAATTAAAAAAGAAAAATGTTGGTAATTTCAGAAAAACAGCACAACTCACGGCTAACTTTTAATTAGGTAATGCAGCGGTTCCTAAACTGTGTGCCGTGGCGCCCTGGGGCTACACGATGTGCACACAGGGGCACCACAAAATGTTTTCCCCGGTGTTATGATTATAGCACCGGGAAACATTTCTGCTGAACAAGGGCCTGGTCAGGTGTCACGGCCCTTTAAGACCACGGCCAGGCCCCTGTAGTATCAACCTGCTGGGAGGAAGTGACAGGCTCGCTTCCTCCCAGCTTCTTGCAGAGAGACAGTGCTGCACAGGCATAGTCAGCATGAGTGGAGGGAGAGGAGCACGAAAAGCTGCTCCAGACCCCTCACCCCCATCGGCCAGAAGCAGGACCAGGACTCCAATCATGCCACGCTCCTGGACACAAGGTATGCTAACACGAGGGTGGCTGGAGATATAAAAAATATGACTTGTATTTGTATGTCAGATTGTATGTGTGTGTGTGGCGGTACTCACATTATTCAGGGGCAGGCCGGGGTCCTCAGCTGGAGCTGCGCGCGGCTTGATCACTTCTGCCTCCACACAAGCGGGCCGCGTGCACTGACCGCAGTGAGCGGTCATGAGGCCCATCCGGCACTAGGAGTGCATCATGCGTCACAAGCGTGCTTTTAAAAGGGCAGTGGGACCCAAACCTAGGGGCGTGCTGGGGCTTCCTTGCTTATATAATTACTATTTAGCGGCCCAGTTAACACAAGTAGCAATGTGGCACTCACCCCTGGGTGACGGAAAATGGGTAGATATAGAATCGCTATTGATAGGTGCTGATCTAACACAATTTGCAATGTGGGTGCCAAAAGAATATAGATCCATACTCAGAGTCACCTGCCCAACAATCCTCAACTCCTTAAGAATTTGGGACTCTTCTCACATAAAAACAAGCTAGCTTCCTCACCCTTATGCACCACCTACGCAACAGAGCCTTCCCCCCGGGTATGGCCCCCAGGGATTTCCAAAACCTAGAGCAGACCGGTATTGAAAGAATATGCCATCTGTACCAGGGCACTGAGTTCATTGGATTTGAGGACATCGCACAGGGGATACACTTAACGCCAGCTGATTTCTTTCGATATATCCAATTAAAAGTTTTCGCGAAACAACCCCATATAAAAAGGGCGGCGCTGCAGCAAAAGACGTTCTTTGAACGTTACTGCCTAGCAGAAACAGTACCCAAGGGGATGATAACTGCGCTATACGCCCACCTTTGCTCTGAAAATGGGGATTGGGGATGGCTGAGGTATTCTGACCAATGGGAGCACGACTTGGGTGAGGTACTCGAGGGCATCGAATGGCAGGAGATTTGGGAAGTGAGTAACACCACCTCCGTATGCGTGACCCTACAGGAGCAATCCTTTAAAACAATGTTTAGATGGTACACAACACCTGTGAAATTATTCAGAATGCATAAAACCACTACTGACACTGCTGGAGGGGCTGCGGTATGAAAGGCACCTACCTACATATGTGGTGGGAGTGCCCAAAAATTGTCCTCTTCTGGACCGCAATTAAACAACTGATACAGAGAGTACTCTCCAGAACCCTAGAATTAGATCCCTGGGTTTACCTGCTTAATCGCACTGTCGAGGGTTGGACAAGGGCGGAACAAAAACATATTCACAAACTCACCTTAGCAGTCAAAAAGGCAGTGGCAGCCACTTGGCTGCAACAGGACACCCCAAGGGTAACAGATGTTATAGCGAGAATTAGAGAGATCCACTTAATGGATGAATTAACGGCTAGAGTAAAAGGCTCGCTTAAAACGTTCCTCAAAATATGGGAACCCTGGGACACCAGTGCCCTTGGGCAGTGATGAAATGAGTACCCCACCTCACAGACCGCCTGGTCCCCCCCCCCCCACATAGCACTAACTGGTGCTTGTCACTTTTTATCGATAAACTCCAATCGGTCCCACCCTCTTTATTTTTTTTGCCCTCTTCCGGTCTTTTTCTCTCTCTTTCTTTCTTGTTTCTAGACCAGTCCATAATAAGGGGCTGGTCGACGTTGTTGGATATCCGTCATGCAGCTACTGTTACGTTTGCTGATTCTGTCAAGATGAAAAAAAAAAAGAATAAAAAAAGGGCAGTGGGAGCCAAAAGTGGATTCAGGCTCCCATTGGCCCACGTCATTCCGGCACCCCTACACACGCACGTTTTGGGGACGTAGGCATGACATGGGCCAATCAAATGTTAGTTAAGGATATTTAAACTTCCCTAGCCCTATCCACTTGCCCTATCGTGGTTTCTATTTCAGTACCCTTTAGTGCATTCCTTGATTTTTGTGTTTATTCTGGTATTGACCTTGGCTTTGTATCTGACTCTGAGTTTATCTTTAACCCTTTCCCGTCTTGTTTGTCATCTGACTAATTACTGTGTACCTGACTCTGGCTAGTTCTCGTTTTCACTGTCTCTCCGTTACCCTGACCTCGGCTCGTCTCTGATTACGCTTTATCTCTGTCTGACGTCTTGTCCGGCCATTCTAAGGCCCAGTAATACGTTATATCCTAGTCTTGTCCCTTGCTATCCAAAACTCTGCGTGTTGGGGTAATACACCGTGACAGTGTGTGTGTGTGTCAGGATGTGCATCTGTGTGTGTGTGCGTGTGAAAATGTTTGTCAGGGTGTGCATCTGTGTTTGTGGATATATGTCACTATGCTTCTGTGTTTGTGTATGTCAGTGTGTGTATCTGTGTCAGTGAGGGTGTGTAGCGCGCTAACCTCTGTGTGTCAGGATGTACATCTGTGTATGTGTATGTGCACATTCGCATTTAAAAGCGAACATTACATCTAAACACTCCCCTGCAATTAAACACAAACATTACATACAAACACACCCCTGTATTAAAACACTAAAATTATATACAAGCACCCCTTCAATCAAACACCAACACTGTAGATTATATACTAAAGCGCCAGTATATGCTGCAGCGCTGTACATATATACAACCTAGAAATTTTGTTGACTTGGGGCATCAAAGTTTGGGAACCACGGGGCTAATGTTTTGTACAAAAATCTCAGTTGCGACAGTTACACTTTAATGATATACAATTCTTGCAAATTACTTGCCAAAAAAAAATCTATTTATCATAAATCATGAATATTGTTTATTCATTTTAAACAAAAAGGTTATTTACAATGTGTGTAGGCCGGTAAAGAAATTCCAAGACTTTAAGTTTCTATGTAAATAGGACAGTCTTAAAAAAACTTTAATTACAAATTCAAGACTTACCTGGGTTGCATAATGCATAGGAATTTGGGTGCGTCCATTTGCTAATGTTTATGTATTGTGCTTTAGGCTACATTACTTAATGCTATTTATATTTTTACTGTTCTTAATTAGTAATACGCTTCTCATCAGGTATGTTATGCTGTGGTAAACTATATTGGAAAACATTGCATAGTTTTATGAATAGAGCATGTGTCTTTACCACAACGACATACACTGGCCTTGATAAATCCGCGTAATTAGATTATGAAATGTAATTGCAAAGTAACTATTCTATTCTGATGTTATCATATCACAAAAGTCGTAGAATTAAAAATTGGAAAAAAAAAGTTGTGTATGTCGGGTTGCAGTGAAAAGCGTCATTTGGGATGGAATAAAGAAATTGTCTCGGGAAACAAAAAGTGGGCCTGGGTTTTAAAAGTAGAGCAATCAACACAGAAACCAATAATAAAATCCTGATAGATCCCTTTGTTACATAATGATTGCTCTAATTGTAGAACTTTACCTCACTTTTTCCGTTTGTAACAGTTTTATAAATCCCCCTAATTTTGGAAACATGTTTTTAACTCAGACCGGACCATTCTTCTACATTTTAAAAAAATAACATCAAGCGGTGTCCACTTGTCCCATTCCTTTCCAGATTAACTTTTTTTCCCCCCCAAGAACAAGCTGTGACTCAGCTAGCCATGCACTGATGTGATTTCTAGGAGTTGCAGTTCAGCTGTGAAAAAAACAAACTGCTGAACTAAAACTCCAAAAAATGTTTGCTGTGCGTCACGTAGAGCTGCATTATTAGACCATAAAGGGGTGGACGGCAGATTAGGTGCGTTATAAGTAACACAGGTAACATTTGAAAGCCTTCCTTTTGCTTGTCTTGATTACTTAGTGCCTGACTGGAAGCTATGGACAGTCTGTTATTTACCAGATTTGTGGTAATGCACACACAAAATTCTGATATGACATATGGTGTTACCAAACATCCTGCACATGTACTCTAGGTGCCCCTTTGGAGGTGACCACAGGAAAGCATAGGGGAATCTCTTGAATAATTTTAAGCAGTAAGCATTGCAGTTAGCATGCAATACTCCCATGTTCTAATTAGCGTAGGACCCACTGGTTTTGGGGTACTTCGACACAGTTGTAAACATAAAAATGGCATGGCCATATGGTGTGAACAAATCCCCCTATTTATTGACTCCTTCCCTTTCTTTGCACCCACCAGAACACGAACTCCTTTTATTTTAAATGCATAAAATTAAGAACTGCTTGAATGTCTCGGCAATTAGGTTGGACCGTGCTTTCACAGTGTGCCTGTTTTTCTGTTAATCATGAATTTGTGTGGTTTTTTTTTCTTTATAATATGTAAAATGTTTACATTTTTAATAAATAAAAAAAATCTATAATTTTTTTCATCATATCCGCATAATCAATAGATATCTTTTAGTTGAATATTTAATTGTGCTAATATTATAGATGACTGTTACTCTTTAATAAATAAACAAATATTTATATTGCCAAAATACAACAGTATTGCAGTATGCAATGATAACTTTTTATTGGACTAACGTAATATTTAAATACAAGCTTTCAAGAGTTTTACTCTCTTGCTCGGGTCTGAAGCAATACTGATCAATATGCATGGCATAGCATATTGATCAGTATTGCTTCAGACCTGATGAAAACTGGAAAACTCTGAAAAAGCTTGTCTTTTAAGAAATATATAAGTCCAATAAAAAAAGGTATCATTGCATATTGCAATACTCTGGTATTTTGGCATCTATCTATCTATCATTATATTCCTCCTCTGTATTAATCTTTGAATTCTTGATGGGAAAAATACAATTTCCCACACATATATCTCGAAACAAATTCAAATTGTTTTAATCTCTAAATATGTTTACCTTTTCGGCCATCGTATATATTTAGTAACGTGTTTGCTCTTTTGTCTCTGCTCTGCTTTCCACATGTTTTATTGCTCCATACGGAAATTATTTAAAGCGTTTGTGTATTTTTCATTCCATCTTGTTGCACATTTGAAAACTTTATGAGTATAAACAGGCCTAATCTGAGGGCCCCGTGTTTCAATCTCACAGAGCCACTGCACCAATCTGGACACTGGACAGGCCTCAATAGGAGAGTTCACTAATCCAGGTAAATGCAAACATAGGCAATGTTAAACGTGACATTTATATATACAGGTAGGGAACATATGAAGAACTGTGGGTCTGTGCCCAAGTGTGACAATCCTGTGTGGCTCTGTACAACTATATCCTTGTTTACTATGGCTATAGTAGCTAACCCCTACTGGGCTACCCAAGTGCACAATACTGTAATGGTCCCCCTGAAATCAATGGGAGGTGCAGTACTGGCCAGTCCTTCCTTGTCCCAGCAGGCAAAATATGCAAATCCTGGGAAATTGAAGCCAATGTGTTACATTCAAGATATGTGTTGTGTTTTGTTATATAAAATATATATATATTCATCCGCAGTCTGGATTTAATTTTGGCAAGTCGGTGAAGGTGAAGGAAGACGAAGGACATGTAGGTAGCTGCTTCTATTTGAAGGCTGATGCACTCTAATTATATGTGCAAATTCCTGAAGCATCATCGCTTACCCTGACACACATTTTAAAGAAAGTATCTGCAACACCTTGAAGTGGAGCTGTTCTTTATTTAATCACTGGGCCATGCTACTAGTGTCATTTAAAAACAAAGAGGCGGCTGGACGAATGAACACCTGGAGCAGTTTATTATGATCACATGGCCCTTAATTACGTTACATCTTTATCGGGGCTTGTGCAAGTACATCCCAGTGTGGTGCCTGGGAAAGGTGCGGGCGATAAACACTTTATGATGCTGTAAAGATAGGGAGTTGATTAGAGGCTGTATACTCTGCTTGCAGGTGCCACTTGCAAGATGCCGCATTGAGTAGCCATCGTTTTATGGCCCAATAACCTATGTGAACAATGAGAAGCTAAACAGTAAGATCATCACATACCAGCACTGCAGCTGCTCTCACAAGGACATAGCTAGCAGTTGTTTGTATTACTGTCCACGAATGGCTCCAGGGCTGGACCCACAGGTCGATTCCAAATATGATTTTTTTTTTTTCTCACTGGATTCTATAACCAGTATATTAATCTCTTGGTTTCGTAATCATTAAATAGTTTCTTGATAATGTTCTTGCTGCTTATGTACCTTTCCTAATACAATTGTATCAGCCAGCAACACAGTGATTAAATAAAAGCCAGTGCCTTGGTGGTTTTGCATTACTGAGAGTTGTAGGGGAAGGGTCAGTATGACCAAACTGTAGAACCTTGGTGGGTGAGGCTCGTATATACACTCTCCATACATTGTAGAAAGTTTAAATAACGCATTGCTTTGTAAGTGGTAACATATCTTGATTGGAAGGATTGTAAATGTGTACGTATATCAGGGCCGTCTTTAATAACGAATGGACCCTGGGCAAGTGTTTGCTTGGGCCCCCTGTGCTGTGCCGCTCTCGCCCCTCACTCCCTGGTGTGCAATCACGGCATCCATCCCAACGCAGTGGCGGTACTAAAGTAGAATGAATTTTATTGGGACCCCCAATTGCAAGGTTGGACTAAAGGTAGAACCCCATCTGTCGTGCAACTCCAACAATGCTTTGACAGCTGGGACTCTACCAATTTCCCATGCTTGCAGGGTTGTATTTAGCACTGAGCCATGTTAGTATGTTTGAATGTAAGCATGTGTTTGTATGGAGTATGTTTGTGTGAATGTGTTTGTATGTGGTACTGGAGTTTGAATGCAAGTGTGCATTTATGTGTAGTGTTTGTTTTTGAATGTAGGAGTGTGCTTGTATGTAGTGTTGACGTTTCAATGCAGGAGTGTGTTTTATATGTAGTGTTGAAGTTTGAATGGAGGGGTGTATTTGTATTTAAAGTTGCGGCTCAGATGCACAGGTACACACTCTGACGCACAAGCAGATACACAGATACATACACTGACTACATACAGATAAACAGGCACATACACTGACAGACACACTGACACAGGTACATATATTGACACACACACAGACACATACACTGGTAGACGTACTGACAGACATACTGACACAGGCACATATACAGACATACTGACACACAGACACATATACCGACATACTGACACACACACACAGACACATACACTGATCAACATACTGACACACATACACTGACAGAAATACTGACACCCACACACTGACAGATATACTGACACCCACATACACTGAGAAATACTGACACACACACACAGGCACATACACTGACACACACAGACTGATATACTGACACACACACACACAGACATACTGGCACACAGACAGATATACTGACACATGCATACACATGCACTAACAGACATACTGACGCACTGACAGACATACTGACACATACACATACTGACACACAGATATACACACACATATATACTGACACACAGACAGACAGACATACTGACACACACACACACACAGACATACTGACACACACACACAGACACTAACACACACATACACTAACACACATACACTAACACACACATACACTAACACACACACTACACACATACACTAACACACTAACACACATGCACTAACACACATACACTAACACACACATACACTAACACACACATACACACATACACTAACACACAAACACACACACTAACACACATAAACACACACACACATACACTAACACACACAAACACACACAAACACACACACTAACACACACACAAACACACACACTAACACACAAACACTAACACACACATACATACACTAACACACACAAACACACATTTTTTTTTTTTTTTAAATGTAATCCCCCCAGCCTCCTTACCTTTTGGAGTGCTGGGGGGATTCCCTGGGGTCCAGTGGTGCTGCTGGGCTCCTGGGCTGGCTGTCTGGCCGGTCAGGCAGGCGGGCGCGCGAGGGAGCACTCACTGCTTCCTTCAGCCTTCCTCAAGGCCGTGGAGCTGAAGAGGAAGCAGTGAGTGCTCCCTCGCGCGCCCGCCTTCCTGCCCGACCGACCACCCGCCCGCCGGGGTCAGCGGGGCCCACGGGGCAGGTGCCTCGGGCCCCCCAAGAGAAACTGGGCCCGGGGCAGCTGCCCCGTTTGCCCCGCGTTAAAGACGGCCCTGACGTATATGTAAGTCTGTGTGTGTGTGTGTGTGTATGTATACGTGTATATGTATATATATAAAATATTTAAATGTTTTTGGGCCCACTGCAATCCTTTACAGGAAAACCTTACCTTTGTTTGTCATTTAAAAAGGTTAGCAACATACAGAGAGAAAGCTTCAAAGGGACAATGGGAAAGGTATCCTATATCTTGTAGTCACTGGCATTTAATCATCAACATACTGTGGCTAAAAGCATAGACAACATTGATACCCCAGTGCCATCATTACGTTCATGCAGAAGAATAGCATACTGCTAACTATATGAGAAGTCTATCTGTGCTAGCATGTGGACTTTCGGACATCTCCTGCAAACCGACCCAAATCATGCCCTGGCCCCCAATCTCTGACAGCCCACCATGTGTTAGTTGCCTGTTCCCCATTTTTTATCTCGACAATCCATATAGTCTGACCTGTGTTCTACTAGCCAGCTGTCTTGACCAGTGTTCCAACTGCATGTACGAGGACATGACATCAGAACACACGACGTGTCCACCAAGTTCACAGTGTTACAGATCCTGGCAATGTAGTACATATAATTTTTAGAGTATGTATCCCCTTGCCCTTTTCACACATGTCTTGCACTTTCCTGTACAAATAATGCACATGTCTGTGTTGTACTGACCCCAGTTTGATAATCAGTTTGAACTTTTCCAAATGTCTGGTTCACATTCCACAAGCAGGTGACGTTGACTTAATTAGTCCATAAGTCCCTCTAATTATTTTAAGTGCTGGAATGGGAGAGTGACCTAGACTGAGGCACCAGGTGTGTTTTTCTTCACTAGATGCAGCCCTTTCTGTGTTCTGATGAAGTGAAATCTGCGGTATGAAAGCAAGATGATATAGAAAGGAAAATTGCATCACACGCTAAGCAGGTGTCCTACCCTAATAAAGCGTACATATTGTGCTTTTAATGCAATAAATGTCAGTGCTTGGTTTATCGTAGAATAACAAATTGTTTATATTTATATATATTTATGATGACAGGGCTGATACAGAGAAATCTTTATTACAGGATTGACACTTTAGTGAGTAGAGAAACGCAATTCAGAATTCAGCTGCGTAACATGCTTATGTAAACTGATTAAATGGCCGATCTGTCATGTTTTCTACAATTTACAGCGCTGACGACCTTCAGGAAAATCTGCTTCTGCATTCACACCGCTTTTAAAACATTTTCATTTCTTCCTCTCGCAAGAAAGAGTTCTTTGCAATTAAACATTTACTTTTATGGGTTCATAAAAAAAATCAATCCATACAAAATTGTTTCCCAAGAGATATTTTGCACAAAAAGGTAAATATAAATGTTGAGTTGTAGTTTTATTCTTTTTTTATTTTCTTCAGTTTGGCAGAAGAAATGAAATATATACTGCAAAATATGTGCACATATGTCTGGCCAGATATTTGTTACCAGACCTTTTAAAGGAATATTTACATTTTAAAATGAAAACCTTCTTTTTTTTATTTTTTGCATGGGAAAA